TTTTCATGGGTACAGTTCTTCAGTGTCAGCACAAAAAAGCTGACTTCTGATTCCCCGAGCAGCATCTTGGAAAGCTGCCCTGCCTTCTCTGTCATGGTTATCCTGTCATGCTGCGATGGGATGAGGTCTCTTAAGAAGAGAGCATCTTCTTAAGAGATGCTCTCCAAGCAGATGAGAGCATCTTGGTGATGAGACCAACAGGTTCAGTTAGGGACAGCTAACTGCGAGAAGTTAAAAAAAAAAAAGAAGGTAGTGGTGGGAATTAAGGTTGAAGATAAGGGGGAAAAAAAACATTTTATCACTTATTTCATCAAGCACCGTTGACAGGAAGTGGCAAAACTACACAGGGAAGGCACCAGGAAATAAGACAGAATTTTGTAACATCTTGGGTATGGGCTGTGCGGCAGACAAAGGACACGAGTGGGGAAGGGCTGCAGTCACAACGCTAAAAAATGGAGGGGGCACCAGAATCGCAAAAGCTTTTGTCAATAGAATTTCATACCCAATTATTGTCATGGGACTCTCAAATTTTATTTCCTGCAATTCTTCCGGCAAAAGGCCAGTTCTTACATGACCTCTGTAATTTTTTTTAATTCTATCAATGAAATAGTCTTTTCTTCAAGGCAGCCCATTTCCTTCCCTTTCAAGAGAGCTGATTTCCTTTAGAATTTGGAACTGTTTCATAAGAAAACTGACCATAAATAGCACGTTTTCTCTCACAGAGATCAACTAACATCAGCATGCTAACATCTGCAAGCCTTTGATTTTGTCACAATTATACTAGATGGAGCCACCCACAGATGATGCCATCCAAAGAGGCTTTTTTAATTCTCCCTAACTGGGTGAAAAACGGTTGTGCCAGGTGGCAACTTGGAGCACAGGTGAAGAGCGGACGATACGCACCAGCACGGGATCCTTAGGAGACACATGGCCTCTCTTCGGTGTGCGGCAGCTGTTGGATATCAGCTGTCCCTCCGAGCAGAGATCACAGTTGATTTCTAATCTCACACCTTCTCTGGTCTGGGCTAGCAACACAGAGTCAGAGTTGATTTGAACCTAGCAGATAGCCTAAGAATTAACATGTTATTTTATCACTTAACAAATCCAGGTGTTGGGATCAACTCGGTGGGGCTCTCTTCTGCATGACAATGCCAAAGGCCTTTGACCTCCCTGCCCCACACTGCAGTCAGGAGGGTAGGTGGCAGGGAGCAGAGCCTGACTCAACAGCAGCTATTGCTCATTTTCTTGTCACTCCATAGGTCACTGGCTGGCAGAAATCTCTGCAGAAATGCATCTAAAAATATTTTGAAAACTTGGCCTCCGCTGATGAGAAAATTAAGTGGTGACTCATGCTCCCACCAGCTCCAGACTTGATTACTGCAATTTGATGGACTGAGAAGCTGATATTCCACCAAGACTGCAATTTGCTTAGGGGAGCAGCTGAGAGGCCTCATTGGCACCAATTGCTTCCAACACATCTCTCTTGTCCTTTTAATCACTAACAAACTTAATTTCACTTCTCACTGAGGATCTCCCTCTCCACCTTTCTGGCGAGAGAACAACTTAGAGGCTGCTTTCATGACCTCTGCTACAGCTCAAGATGCCGGCATAAAGCAGACCTGCCGTAGCAATGCCTCGCACCTGCGCTTCCCAGCATTGCGTTCTCCAGTCCTGCACATATCTAAAGCCATCGGGCAGTCCTTGTCCATGCTACTCCAGATAACTTGCCACCCTGCAGAGAGTTCTCTGTTGAATGAGAATTTTACAGGAACTGCACGGATCAACTTTGAAGAATTTTATTCAAGACACCTTCTCAAAGAAGTCACAGTCTAATGATCAAGAGCGATAACATGGTTTAAGCAAGAAAACGGCAAGAGGAGACAACCTCCCTCTTCTGAAACTCTTCTGATGTGATGCTGTAGTTGCGGTCTGGGAGATCGGAGCAACCCGTGGAAACAGGGACAAAAGACATTGGGTTTCTTAGATGTGGGAAAGAGCAGGCAATCAAATCTAAAATAAAATACTCTTCATTTACTCTCGTCATGTGCTACATTATCACCGAGCTTTGTTAGAACAACGGCAGGGCTTTTCAAACAGCTTCCCTAGGGAGACTGCTCTGCAGCTTAACAGCCCTTTCACTGGAGATGGGCAAGTGTAAGCAAGGGCAGAATTTAGTCTCTTGTCTGTTTAACGTGTTTGCAAGGGGCTGTGTGTGTTTCTGGCACATTATAATAATAGTAATATAAATGCATTTGGATTATAACAAAATGGAGAAACTATGATTTAGCCCTTTACGGTTCTGTAATTCCCAAATGCATCAACATCTATTTAAGTGCAAAACAGTCTCCAGTTTACAAATACAATGCTGCGATTGTCTGCTGTACAGGTTCCGTATGAGATTATGATTCAAATACAAAACACAATTCAGTGTCTGAAATTTCATTTTTCATGTCAGAGTAACATCAAAAAAGCAGCTCTTTCTCCATACGCAGTCTTGCAAAAAGACATATACCAGGGACTTGGTCCTTTCTAGTGATTTCTACATATACAACTGCTCATCTCTTATGCACGTATGCACTTGCACATAAATAAATGTGCTTGCAGACAGACAATATTTCATCTTGCCTTCTAACCTCCTGCTGTCAAGATATTTCCCCAGAAAACCATACACAAATAAAACTAAGAGCTTCTCTCTCCCTGCCTGCCAGAATAACGTAGGAGACTACTTCCATAAAACCAAGCTGCTGGATTACTCTCCTTTTGCTCTGTGAACAAGCACAACTGCGCAGCTTCTGCTGAGACTGCCTTTTCTGTCATAAAACCTATTCACATCAACTGAAGGATCTATACGAAAAAGAAAACCAACCACAATTTTGTTTTTAGCTACATAAAAAATGATTTATCCTGGACCTACTCCTGGGGTCATCAAAAGCTTCTCAATTTAGTGCATAAAAAGAGAAAATAAAACGTTTGAGTAACTCAACACAAAGTGCTAAAATTTCCTGGGACCTCTGAAGTCCTCTTTTATTGTTCAGGCATTTTTTTCCTCTGCTATCATTGGATGGGATTATAGATACGCAGAAGATAAGAAGTGTTGATGATCAAGAAAATCCTTGTGGTTTAACATGGGCAAAATTCTCATTTGCCATCAGTTTTGCCTGATTATGTTCAATACTGGATATCTCTCATTTATATTTAAAGCCAAGAAGTTGGAAAGATTCAGGACAGTTCTAACCCTCTACTGAAAAACCAGTGGAGTTCAATGAATTAATTTTTAGTTGATGATAACTTGCAGTATTCTGAGGACCTTCTTTTCCCAAGTTTAGTTCATAAAGTATTTCTGTACAATTCACGGATTTTTTTTTTTTTTTAAAGAACAAGCCAACAGTCTAAAAGCTTACCCACAGAAGAACAAAACATAGGTAACAGAGTTAAAAAATTGACCTAGAGGATAAGTAATTTTATCTTGTTTTCCTATTAACAAAATTAAATTCAAAACCATTCTGTTTATTAAAGACATATAAACATAATAACAAGTCATAAAACAAACATCTTAACAGTCTTTAAACGTAACAGAATTGATATGTATAATTAAGTTTCATTAAGTACAGATTTAAAATACGTATTTCAGTTTTGCTTTATATTCCCTTTAGACCAACACCTCCAACACTCATAAACAATATTTAGGCTGCCCCAAGGAGTCAACAAGGACTTTGTAAAGGCTCTAACAAAACTCCATCTTAAAACAGTTTGAAATATTCTTAAAGGTAGAAAATACTTAACATAGAAAAACGGATGTGTTCAGTGGAAGCTAAGCAAATTGTTGGATGTACTGAAAGTCAGAGATTCAGTACGTAGAGGTAGCTCAGTAAGGGTACGTGCAGTGTTCTGACTATTTAGCATTGACACAACCATAGTAAATTACTGTATGCTTGAACTCTTCCTATATATTTCTAAAAAGCAAGCACCCTTTCTGGGTCTGTTGCTTTGCCATTCAAAACCAACAGAAAGAGTTATCGACTTCAGTGGGATTGGGATTAAGTCCTTATATACTCTGGAAGTTCAGGTTCATTGAAACAGAACAAAAAGAAACTGTCCTGAGCCAGGACTCTCCGCTGCAAGCAGGGTTTTTAAGCCCAGACAAAGGAATTTTTTCCCCACACAGAGCCGGTTAGCATGCTGAAGAAAAGGAAACCTTGAATTTGGCCCAAGAACACGCATGCTGTTCTCTCCAATGACCTCGCAGGCCAGCCTGTTGGCGGATCTGACTATGCTAACGAGGGATGCGCCGAGCAAACCTGTGAGCTCACTGCCCGCTGCTCTTCCCATCATAGTGAGAAGAGAGCACGGCCCTGGGGGACACGGGCGGTGGGCAGTGTCCCTCAGCTCTCCCGCCTGCTCAGCGCGCCCAGCTTGATCCCCCTCCAGGCAACGAAAGAATTCAGCATGTTGCCACCTCACATACCTCCATTACACGGTTGCTTTATTGGTGACGACAATTCTGAACCAGGGGACGGTGTCGGCTCCCACCACTTTCTCATACAGATGACAATGGAGCAGCCTTGCACAGAGACTGACCATCAGGGAAAGCATCGACGATTGGTACCAGATTACTTTACTGTTGTTCACAGGAATAACTGTCTAGGAATAACAGACTAGGTAAACCAAACACAATTTTTTCCAGTAAGGCAAAAGGATATGAATTTCACACGCCTACTGTCGTACAAAAGATCTTTAGCTTGTGCCAATGGCTGTAGCCGTATCAGAGCCGAGATACTTTGCATCTGCTAAAGATCTGCTCCTAGGTGTTTGCACTCAGTTGCACCACTTACTGCAACGTTAACCATGACACACATGAAACTTCTGCATTTATATTGATCCCAGTTTGACCTATTTCTTTCATTCCTTTAATGTTTTAATGCACAATTGCCAGCATGTTTTTTTCAGATGGGTACACTTCAGAGTCTGGACTAGAGTACACCTCTGAAATCTTAATCTCCCAGACAAGATGCAGTGCTGGCTCTATGTTTAAATACAGGCCTGTGTTCTTTTCTCTTCAACACTCCTCTTAGAAATAGTATTTTGTATTATTTTTTATATAAGTTTACTAAAAAGAGTAACATTTTATTTTTAAAAAAGTTGTGACTGATTGTCAAATTAGCTAAGATAGCGTTTCTGCTACTATAAGGATCTTTTTAATTGGCAAAAAAAAAAAAAAGTCAACTTTCTTGTCCTCACAAGCTATTATTCCTTACAAATACAGCAATATAGAAAACATAGCTTGGCTTACTACAATAAAGGCTCTGTTTCGATATTAGCATCCTAAATTCTGTCACTGCAGATCTCTGTGTGTTGCACAGGGGGAAAGAAAAGAGAAAAGAAAAAAGAAAAACAAAAATTTGTGTTCTTCAGGGGTAAATTATGAAAGATCTCCTAGCTGCAAACACAAATACTTCACTCATAACCCAAGCACCAGACCATTTCTTTGAAGCAGCTTATGAGGCATTTAAGATATACAATGGCACAATATCATACAATGGAATTGAAAGAATTTTCTTGAGAAACCATTAACTTTGAAGGAATGTCTAGACAACTGTGTCAACAAATGCAAATAATTCATGCTTCTCAGCTTCTATCCAATGGATGGCCCCATGCTGAGTATACACAAACTCAGAAGAAAAAGGCATGTCACAGTCATATGACTAGGGAGTGTAATAGAGTCACACAGAAATTCAAGTCAATCTTGGAGAAAAAAACCTTCAGAAAGCTCTTCCTCAGGGTAAGCCAGCAGTGGGATAGTCTTCTGGTCATTTTGGCTCATTTAAAACAGAGACTTACAGCTGGTGCACCCTGGCTTCAAAGTAGGGGCAAGGGAAGAAACAGCTGCTGGTCACGACCGTTCACTTGGTTAGAAAAATAAAAATTAAAGAACTCCAAAATACTGTACAACCTCTTGCAGTAACCAACAAAGTGGCTTCTGGAAACAACGCTTTTGCCAAAAATGCATCTGTAAGGCACTTAACAGGTATCTTTTTAATATATATATATATATAAAAATAAAATATGCACTGAAGCAACATTCACAAATACCCAGTTGTCTCAATTGTCTGTGTGTACAGTATAGTACATATATACATTCACTGTGACACAGGCCATCTCCACAATTATACCTTCACCGGTGCTTTGGGCTGCCTGGTTAACTTCAGTGCCTGTGAACAGTAAACAAAACAGTCACTTTTTTATATTTTTAAAAGACAAGCAACAGCACAAGACAAGATTTTCGTTTATAAGGGGTGACAAAATGCTCTGTGTACTTCTGGGAGGCTGGGTGGGGAGTCAGCATGCAGCTGACAGGCCACTCTAGGTTTTGTGATGATGTTTTTATCTCTGATAGCCCATCACAACCTCCTCACTACAGAAGCCTTAACAGAAGAACCACGAGTATGGCTACGGTGTCAGCGACGGAAGCTGAGGTGTGTCTCAGATGTCTTTGAGAAAGCAACTATTTAGATCCCACTCAAGCCACTTGTGGCACAGATACAAGAACTTCTGACCCGCTTAGGGAAAGGCTGTGAAGACAATTTCTGCTACCACCTTTGTGTTCCCTGGCCTCCTTCCACACAGCTCGAAGCCTGCTCAGAGTACAGTCACTGCTGCAGTGGTGGATGTCAGGCACCTGACGTTTATACCTTCCTTTCTGAGAAAAGGCAAGAATAAGCCAAAGTCTACCAGTCCAGAGGTGATCTTATGCCAAGGGACACCTCATGTCTTTGTAGCTCCAGTCTGCTCTTACTGAGGAGGAGAGAAACCACATGCCTTCATTTGATGGCAGGGTCCAGCTCTGTGCTCCCCGCAGGGCTGGCCAACTATGGTAGCTGAACTATTTATTCAGTACGTGACCGAAGTTCAACTCAAATGACAGGTGATCACTTCTGCCTTTTAGTTTGGCAGGAAGCAGCCTCTGTAACTTGCTTAAAAGGCGTTCGGTTTTCAGCTGCTCTTGTATGCCGATGTGGTCACCGAGAGGGATGCCTCCTATTGGCGTGCTCTGCAACAAAAAAGCTCGGTGCTTTCTTGGGAGGGACGAATCAGCCTGAGTGAGTGGTAAAGTCGTGAAATTCGCCAGTTCCTGAAATTTAGAACCTCTGTTTTCCTTAGCCTTTTGGGTGAAGTGCCCTGACAGACTGGCATTTGCCTGTCGAGTGAGAGACTTATTATTTCTGGAGGGTTGGCTAAACAAGCCATTTCCAGTCTGAGAGATGTCTGATGAGTCTTCTTATTGTAGATATTAACCTTTAATATTGTACATTTAAAGCTTGTAAGCACTGCTTGAAGAACGCTCCAGCACAAATGTAAACCCTTAAAAAAATCCAAACCTTTAAAAATAAATAAGCTATATTCCCCTCAGAAACACCAGCTTTCAGAAACACCAGCATTTAACTATTTTTAAATCTAGCTGTTCGAGATGAGCCTTTTGGATATTATTCAGCGAGAGACTTTGGAGAGAGACATCATTCCACATTTTGTTTGGGGAAACAACTTTTTAACTTTGTAGTTTGGCAGATTCTGCTGCCATATTTACAAACTAGAAATACCTTAGCATAGATGAACTTCTAAATATTTAAATTCAATTTCATACAACCAGATCACATGTACTATCATAATTAAGAAAGAATGTCACTGCAGTTGAGTACTGTGACTGGATAACCGTCTCCCCCTGCAAGAGAGATGCCAAAATGAAGCCAAGGTGTTTATAGAAAATAAACATCAAGGGTGATGATGACATGTTTATTTTCAAAGCGGGAGACCATTATCCAGTCACAACATTCACTCCTATTATACTTATTATAACTGTACCAGACCCAACCTCATTGATTTTTTTTCAAAGAGTAATTAAAACAACATTTGTGAATAATACAGAAGACCAACTGAAGAAACTGCTGCAACAGAACAACAATCCCCCAAAGTGCTTCTATGGGAGCACTACCGTCTGATTAGCACAGGAGGTTTATTTGATGCTTAATGAATAAGAAACTAGTGCTGGTGAACTGTAAATCTCTCTAGTACTGGTTGGCTTTTCTGATGCCCTGTTTAAAGGCTGTGTTAACTTGCAGCAACTGACAGCAGCCCCTGAAGGCCGATATTGCCCCTGAGGATCAGGGAGCTCTGGATGAGCTCCAGCTCCACTCTTGGTCTTGGCTGATGAGAGCAGTCGGATGCTGAAGAGAAATCAGCATTGCAGGGATCGTTCTGTCACCAGTTGTGTCAACTTTAGGCTACCTTTCTGCAGAAATAGCATGGAATTTTCTTTACACAACCTGTATTGTCTCCTGATAACTTATGATTAAAAAAAAAACCTATGACTTCCAGACTGATGGAGAAATGACATATGATTCTCAAATTTCCATTTTCGGATGCTAAGATAAGTATATTTTAACAAGGTCAGATTTCTGGACTCAGTTCCTGAAAACTGAGAATTTTCCTGCTTTTTATAATTCAGGTAACCAAAAGGAGACATGCATAAAAAACACTACTTTGGGGAATCTTAGCATTCAAGTTAGCAAAGTGACTTTAGTGGAGGGAAGCTAGTAAAATGGCAGCCTGTTGGGTCTTGCTGAAAATTGGAAGTTATCAAAAAAAACTGCTCCACTGACAAGTGGAGAATGCAGGGTACTGGTGGCACTGGGCTTCCCACAGAAGGTCTCAACCTTCACCTAAAATGGCTGTCAGACTGCTTCAGTTGGCACAGCTTCTTCATCCTTATCATGTCCGAACATTAAAGACAGCGTGAAAATCAGTCGCATGGACTAGCTTTCTGCCAGGTGGTTACTACTGTTCTGAGAAGGTGAGTAAAATCATTGCAATTATTTCATATAGATCACAGAATGGCTGTCAGATGTCAATAGCTTCACTTTGTACTGAAATAAGCGTAATTTGAATCAGTGATGTTGATGCAAAACCCTCTGGGTTATAGCCAATAATCCTACAAGCTACCTCATGTCGTAATTTTGGCACGAACTGTGATGCACCAGATTGCTGTAGACTTCTTGCTATTGTAAAGAATGATCCAAGTAGGGGAAGAGGGGAGGAAAAAAAAAGTTTTCATTCTGCTTCAGCTCAGTTCAGAAAGTGATCTTATTTTGTCTGATTTCCCCAGCTCCCGTGCTAGTGGACAGATCTTTGCCACTTCTCCATAAGAGAGTTCTGAAGCTGTGATTATTAGCTAAAGGTGGAGCCATTCTTATTGGGCATAATCTGAATTAATAATCTGAATGAATTCGTAATTTGAACTAACTGTAGAGGTCTAACTTCAGGATTTGAATCTTTTCAGAGCCAAGGGGGATAAAGTTCAGCATTTTTGATACTACTGTGACAATCATCATCATAAAGAAAGTAAAAAACCAGAAAAATTCCTACCATGAGATCTCCAAGAAAGAACCTGAGAAGTTTAAGATGTGTTTAGTTATTTTTTTTCCCTCATAGCACACTTTCTATTACAAATCCAAGCCAGCAATTCTTACCTTTTGCCTAGAAACCATCCAAGATTTTATTGTCGGTACCAACAGACTGCCAAGAAGAATCTGCGCAGGATGATAGATGAGTAAGGGGACGGAAATTAAGGACAGGTGCTCATAACCTGCAAATACTATCTTCAGCATTGGAATCCCTGCAGGCAGAAAAACAGGAGACACACTCTCACCCCAGACTTTGAGCTCCAGATAAAAGCAAAGTATTTTATGTTGTGTTGACATTTCACCAAAAAAACACCCAACAAAAAAAAAAAACACAAAAAAAACCAAATCAACCAAATCAAACCAAACAAAAGAAACAAAACAAAGACTCAGAAATTTTATACAAAAAACCCTACCCAAACCAAGCAGCAAGAACATGAACAAAAAACATACACAGTAGAGAAAGTTTTGTGGCAGAAAGGAAGGAGCAGGGGAATGCCATAAAAGATCTTTTCTAATCATGCTAATAGCTGTAAAACTCCTGATGAAGATTTGATAGAACACATGTTCTGCTATAGCATGACTGTTCGGTTGCTGAACACAGTTCTGTACTGCTTATTTACTACCTCCTCTCACTGTGCTCCATTTCCTGTTTTCCTGCTTGTCCTCCATCCAACCTGCCTGACTCCTGCTTGTAACCTTTCTTCCGTCCGTTCTCCACTGGAGGATGGTTGCGTTTTCCTGGTGTACTCCCTGCCAGTTGGTTAGTACCCAAGTAACAGCCTTCCCTGCTTTGACTCATCCATGCACTCAAGGCAGAGTCAAGTACTGAGCAGGCAAACGCTCGTGCGTTGGAGAACAAAACTCTTTGCTCTACCCCTATGTTTCAGAAGATATACAGCATGAGAGAGAACAGGTTTCGTGAACTGAGTGAGCAATATGAAGTGGTCATGCCTATGAAGACTTAGAGTACAGGAGTTGCTAGATGCTGGAAGAAGTAAGTGTTAAGAGCCAGAGATGGGCCACTTTCCCAAGAGCTTGAATTTGCACTCAACGATGCTAATTCTATTAGACGTCTCCATGCAGAATCTTCCCACTTGATGATGTGATATGTAAAATTAAATTTGATTTAGCTTTGCAGTAATGAAACCGATTGTTTACTTTGAACATGTCATTGTTCAAAATTATCAGCTTAAATCTTTGAGCTTTGCTACCATGCTCCACAAAGCGTAAGTGTGGGCAAAACTTGCAACCATCTCTGTCTTGCTTGGCCAGACATTTGCATAGTTGCTAAGGAGATTGCACCTGCAAGTCCTCAGGAGCCTCCTGAGAACATACCGTATTTTCTCCTTCATCTTAAGTGTTGTTCTAGGATTCTTCCATCAGCATTAACCTTGCAGTGAAGCAGACCACAAGCAGTTTTCACAGAGCTCATCTGCGTGTCTCCTTTCGTAGCAATGACAAAAAGCTGAGCTTTGTGCCACATGGCCTCCATCTCCCCATTAGTAGATGTTTCAGATCAGTCAAAGTTGCCATGTTCACATAAACTTTTGCCTGTATCTTAGATAAATTCCTGTTCTCAACATCCTTTCAGGCTTCCCTTAATAAAAGTTGCCTCCTCCCTATGTGAGGAAACAGCTTATTTGTTGAATATTTACCGTTCTACCAGTGCCCCACTATTGCTGGCACGTGTCCAGGCTTGCTGAAATCTTCATGATGTTTCCACAGCATCATTTCTTGTAATTATTTTGATTAGCTCCATCACATTACACCACTAACAATCTCGTCCCCATGCTAGTAGCCTTTACTTACGTGGATATTTCCAGGGAAAGATTAAATCAAATACATAAAGGCTTGTGTACTTAATTTCAATATTATAATTACCTTCAAAACAACATCACAGACCTATCACACAACAGGGCTGCTTATTATTAACGCAAATTTCTGGGGCTTGGGAATAGATATTATTTGGATAGAAATTAAATGGGCACGTGCATTATATTAAGGAGTGCAATTTATTTTAAATGCCCATCATACTGTTTTTGTAAACCAATAAAGGTTTTATTGCCTGTTTCCAAATCTCAAGTTGACCCTCATGGGTCCTTTTCTGTTCTCTAACCACCGAAAAATAAACTAGAGTCCCAAGCTATGAACATGCTGTATTTATGTTCGTAAGACAGTACCTGGTGTTTTGGCAGTGCAATTTCATCCATAGATCCAAAAACACTTTAGTAAGCTGAACAGGACTCCTACAGAGAATCAGAGAACACTAAAACGACTAGCCTAAGATCACACAGAAAACTAACGGCAGAGCCGTGAACAGAATGGATCCAAAGTGACTGAGACATGCTTTAAATTACTCTACATTTTTCTAAACTGAAAGAAAAGACGAGAAATTCCAGCCTAAAAGGTAAATTCTCTAGAGGAAAGCTATTTCAGTAAACTAGGAAAGGAAAATTAAAGTTGTCCAATATAAATACAAAATACTATAATTAGTGTGACAATATAATTAGATCACTGGGTAGAAAGAGGTTCTAAATTCACAGCTTGTTTAAATACATGTCACAACAATAGGTTCCTGTAAGCCATTAATGTGCAATTAAAGTTCCTGTTATTTACCAGGAAAAACTAACTGGTGAAAAGAAGAAATAATAATTTTTTTTTTTTCAGGTAAGCATTTGTTTCATGGAAAGAAAAAGCCCTGTTGCCTTTTTATGCAAAATTCCTGATTTTTATCATTCCAACTTTGCCAGTATGCAACTCTCTCAGAAAATGTTTCACAACAGAGATCCACAGACTACCGTCACAAATGCTTGTGTCAGTAATATTACCACCAAGCTAAACAAAATAGCATGGGTTTTATTTATTTTTAAAAACGTTGTCTAAACTTTTTCATAGCAATACACAGTAACTGCAAGCATCAGTATGGCCGTTAATGTTTTCCAAATACATAAAACTCATGCAAACTCCTAATTAGGAAAAATTTTAGTAGTTACTTTTCCTTCTCTTACAAAAAATTAACTGGATTTTCTTTACATATACATAAGAAAAACATATTTATTTTATATATATATGTATAAAAAAAAAAAACACTTAGGAGTGGGGTGGAACAAACAAAATTAAAATCAAATCTCAGCCAAAGGAAGAAAAGTGACATTATAATGCCTGGGCTGATACTGTATGCTGTATCTTTGCCACTAATGTATTTTCAAGATGAGAGACCTAGCACTGAGAGAAGCTATAACAGAAACAGTAGTGACATGAACAGGTGCTGCTGTAACAAAACTAATAAAGTGAATGAGAGGAGTCTAAATCTTTCAGATAGATAGCAAGGAATAAAGAGGCTAAGCAAAATGGATATATTTTTTTTTTATTTTGGGCTGTCCACTCCTCTTTTCCTCATCTTTTAGAGCACATTGCTTCCAGTGCTGATGGAGTATGATAGCTACACTAAGATAAATAAAATTTTGCACAGGATCAAATCACATATGTTAAATCCCAGACCACTACGTTAGTCTTAAGTTTCCAATGAATGCGTGTCCAACTCCTGTACCAGAGCTGACCAAATGCTGTGACAAGCGCAAGTCAGGGTTGTATCCGACTCACTTCCAAAGTGGTACCCAGCTGGGTGAGAAAACAGCACCTCACTTGACCAGGACTACAGCGCACTGCAGCAGAAGTGAGGGAGCACTGAGATCATCCCACAGATATCCTTTACAAACAAAATCGTCATTCCCAGCTTTTCACCCTATATTTCCCTCTTGTCCTGTGTTTGGCTGTGCTTCTCCTACCAGTGCTCCCCCATGTTCCTATCTTCCTCCTTGCTCTTTGGCTCCAGTATGCAGAGGCTCTTCTTCTATTTGTATTTTCTTCCTTCCTCTTTTTTCCTCCTCTTCTCCACTTCCATGCTTTCTAGCCTGCTTTGTTTTGTTTCCCAGGACCTTTGATTCTGCTCACTTGCAGCAGTGCAAATTTTGGGTACTCCCACTAAAACCATTAAGCTCCACCAAGTGCAGTGGGCACTAAAATCACAGCCCCACTGCAACTGAGAGAAGCGAGTTAGATCTGTGATACGGAGTACGTTTCATTTTCCTCCCTGTTTGCGTCCTCACTCAGCCCGTTTCACGTTAAGAACTTTGCAAACCTGAGGAAGAGCCAGCGAGAGAAAAGCTGTTTATCCACGACCTTCAACAGCAGCAGAGGACTGCTCTTACGGTCTGGTATCGGCGAGCCCTGTTTGTTCTCCCCTGCTCCAGGGTATTCCAGTTTGGCTCCAAGGCTGTGGTTTCTCAGCCCTGGTCAAAGGCCACCGTTTCTCTAGTAGCCTGCACGACTGAAAGCTATTTATCTTTCAGCTTTGCAGCCAGTATAACCTCCCACATCCTCCCCTTTCCCCTTTGCTACTTTGGCATTTCATAGTCACCTTCCTAAAAGGCCCATGAAAATATTATGCTGCACTTCACTACAGTTAGTTAACCGTAAAATAATAATAATAAAAAAATCCTAAAAGATTTGAAGGTACTTTTAAGAGAATTTAAATATAGGACTCTTTTCATCTAGCTATCACTGCAGTAATATAAATGAAGCAAATTAATTTTAATGCTCCAAGGTACTGATTCTGTGTCACTGTCACTGACAGGATCCAACTAGTCTTTATGAGATGGCATTTGACTTTATGGAAGTGAGCACTATGCACGCATTTACAATTTTACAGGGACTTTAAGCTGTCATGCTGAAAAATGTTTATAAAACATTAATCAAAAAATGCCTCTTTAATACAATGCATTGTCTGAAAGATGTTAGAAGGCACATATTGTAAATGGATTCTTTTTCTGACTGAAGTAATTTCTACCAAAAGCCTTTCCCCACTGCTATACAAGTACACAGTGTGGAGAGATAAAGAGCACTTTCTCAGCACATTACTACCTGATCCAAACACTTGGGAAATCACTAATGTACAGCATGCCATATTTCCATGTCACACATGACACATTTGTCTAAAATTACCCAACAGAGTTTGACATTGCAGCATATTCCATAGCAGAGCTTTCAACTGACATCTGCCAAGTAAGAACTTCAAGTAGGAGCTTTCTTCTTCTAACAAGCAAGTAAGAGTTTTCTTTTATCCTATACCCATGATGGAAGTGATAAAACAATAAGCACTGGAAATCAAGGGGTTTTTTTTCTATTTTAATATGTTTATTTTATGCTCGCT